GCGCCATTTATTGTGGTCAGGAGGAGGCACTCCAGTATCTTTCGGCAATCAATACAAAATTCCGAAGAATCCCTAATGCATCTATTATTATATGATGTGCAGATATATTCCACAAGGTTACAGAAATTCGTTATGCTAAAGTGACAGCAGATTAGGTGAGGATGCAAGTTAGCTGTGTTATCTGAATCTGAATCTAATTATACAAATTTACCTTGCTTTCATTTTGTCTCGGAATTTAATTAAGTTAATATAAAGTAAAATAATGTATTACATTTTTTCAAGCAAAATACCTTATAAATAGCACTTCTAAACACATTTCAATTTTTACACTTATTATTTTCTGAGTGTCCTTGTTACATAATATCTCACTTATAGTGTGACCATCAGTCATCAAGACACAACCTCATTCACTTTAGAGGAGGTGTTTTTTTCATGTTAACTTTAAGTGTATTTTTAAAGAAGCTTTAATATTACTTATCAGAATAACATTTGTAGCTGAGACTGTACATGGTTTTGCTATAGTTTTGATAACTTTGTGAGATTTAGAAACTTTATTGTATGGGCTGTTCCACTACACAGTACAGCATATACTGTATCTTAACACCTGTCAGATGTCTTTTGTTTCAAGCAACATCACCAATAAAAGGCACATCATCACATTCAGTTAGGAAATTGCTGTATGTGTTAAGAGACATTGAAACAATCAAAAAGTACATTGTGATTTATTTTTATGTAATAACTTTCAATTTTAAAATAACATTAAAATCCATGTTTACTGTACATGCCTTTTCTCTAATCAATTAAGTTCACATTAGTGTCTTAAACTGGAAGATATGGCATAACACATGGCACGATTCTAAAATTGAACTTGTTCCCTCCAAAACTGTGAGGTTTCAAACAGCACATATTAAGAAGGATTTCAGATTGCAATTATCAGGCTTTTATATGCAAACATCGATGAAAGATAAAAACACTGCCCTTGCTGGTGTTGTTTGAAGACAAAAGTTTGAATTTTATGTGCATATTTAATATTTCGCTTTTCAATTTTATTTTTTGCAAGTTGATTGAACATATTTAAGTTTTCTTACATGATTTACGCCATATAACAGAGTTAGAAACTAAGGCTCACAAGACCAAATGTCACTGATGTTAACTTCCTCCTCTATAGTCGGGATTTATTAATATTTTCCTTCCAGCATTCATAGCTTAGTATCCATCCACTAGCATCATCCCCTACCCCACCTCCCTCAACATGGAGGACCCTTACATCCTAATCCACATGGTCACCCTCATCCTACATAAAAGACGATGATGTAATCCTCTGCATTACTGAAGCAGAAGTGTTAGGTTGCACATTATTGTCTGAACTTATTGAAAATAAAATAACACATACAGTAGCCTTTAACCTATACAGTTTCCATAGCTCTTCATGTGTATTATTTTAAGTAACCAAGCATCCCCAGGAAATACAGAATATGGTGTCTACTTCACATTCTCTGTTCACATTTAGCCCAGTCAGAAGATGAATCCTAATTTTGTTATGTGCGGAGAAAAAAAAAAACGTATCCGAAAAAAGTGTTCCTCACATGAAGATGCCCAATGTTGATAGATCTGAGTACTTCTGAGGGCACTTTGCAGTGCTGACAACAGGCCCATAGCTTTGGATTTCTGTTTATTTATGAGGTGAAGACAGAAGCAGTCATCATGGAGGCAGTTGTGCTGACAGCTACAGTTTGACTCAATTACAATTCCACTCCAATTTCTTTTCGAGCTGCTGTGCACATATACTTCTGCCCACTGTTGGTCTCATGAATGCTGCTCTTTTACAACTAGAATAAGCCTCTAAAGTCCCAATGGAACTGTGTTCATATGTTGTTGGGAGAGCCCTGCTTTTGTCATGGTGTAGGCAGTAGGGTGCTGGTCAGCCTAAAGCCGTGTAAGCGAGTGTTCTGAAACACTCTCGCTGGCAAACTACTGTACTGTAGGTATGAGGAAACCAATGAGAGAACTATACCTATTTTACTTTTACACAAAAAGAAACCTATTTACTTGACTTTTTTAGAAACCATACTGACAAAGCAATTCTCGATTGCAAGAGACAAAAACCTTTGAAATTCCCTTTCAGCTATGAGTGCAGGTTGCCTACTGTACATACGACTGCTTGAGTGCATGGGATTTTTTCTGCATGGAAATAATTCCTTTTGCACCATCAAAGTTATTTGTATATGCACAAGCACTAATGTCTAATGCAATGTCTAGACTATGGCAGCATCACTAGCTTTACCTAGACACTCTGATCCTTGAACTCAGTATGCAACATTTCAACAGCCGTAAGCAATAGATTTGCCAGTGTCACGACTCGTACCTTCTCCCGTAAGCTCCCTGGCATTCCCACATGTGCTAAATTCTACACACGCTCATCCAGGAACTAATTAACCGACCATGTCTCTCTCTCTTCAATATTTAAACACTCTTCACTGGCTTACCCACACTCACTATTGAGAAGTCTTCCACAGCTTTCTCTTGTTTGTGCGCACTACTATTCTCGACCTGACTCCTTTGACTACCCGACCTGGTTCTCCTACCTTTGACTTCGCTCTTGCCTAATGACTTGGATTTGTTATCGTGGATTTACTTTTGCTTGTACTACATTCCTCACGGCTTCACACAGGGGTCCAACAACTCACCCCTTTCAGAAATCCTGACATCCAGAACTGAGAAAGTGCAACTTAGAAGTTGAAGACATGTGCTTCTGGACAAGGAGATTATTTGGGAGCAAACGCTTGTACAACCATTCTTTTGTCAGAATAACTGCTTTTTTAAGAAATTACAGTGTCCATTTTTAGACATCATATCAAATAATTTTTATTTCTCATCAGCTCATTGTTGGTGGATAAAGTACTGTTCCATGAAATACTACTGAAATTGAACTAGTGTTAGGATAGCAAAAAGCTATGGCTGACATTGTAATTTAACAACACCTACAAATGTTTACTGTATAAGTTGCAGGAAGTTCACTTCTTGTTTTTAGTAATCAGTTAATAATTGGATTAATAATATTACTGGAGTAGATGGTTCTAATGTTATTAGTTCAATTTTTGTTATTTTCAGGCTTTTAATTCTAGAGAATCACATTGTATTATTCCATGCAATTCCTAATAATCATTACTTGTTTTGTTTCCCAATGCATTAAAAACATATTGACACTGGCAAAACCTTTGGTAATAAAAATGCATTCAAAACATAAACATATTATTACTTTTGATATCAAACTATTAGAATAAAATCTAGACCTATAATCACACTGCAAACTAAGTGCTGACACAGAATTAATTTGGAAGTTAAAAAGTTTGTATGCATGTTTTAGTTGGTATGTATACTGTATATCAGATGCAAATTGCTAGTCAATGCGTACTGGAACCAGAATACTTTGTCTCATCTCCAAGCCAGTCTTTTTGACAAAACAACCTGTTTCAAACCTAAGATTTAATAGTGTCCTACTTCACTTGATTCCACTCTTGTATTGTTGTATTCACCACAATTCAACAATGATCGCTGAATGTTCACCAACAAACCTAACAATGCACAAGGCTATTTCTACAGTTAATATAGGAACCAACGCAGCAAGTGACAATACAATACAGTAGTTATTCTGAAGAAACTGGGATGCAAGCCAGAAGTTCCTTTTGACCCATGAGTCCGATGATGAGAACCGTATTGCAGAGCATGTAAAGTGGGAAAAAATGAATCTAAAAAAATTACCCTGCTTCTTGTCAGTCCCAACAAAAGCAAAACCTTTTTGATTTTCTCTGAATAGGAAAAAGACCACACCAGGAAACACTTCTCCATTGTTTTACTTCCTTCAGTAGGCCTTATATAAACAACTTGGATCACAATGTGTGTGTTGCTGCTTTTTTTCTCCTGTTTTACCTTAATTTTTGCTAGTTCTGGCAGAACATCACTTTTTTAAATCTTTAAGGGATCTAATTGATCTTTAGTATCTGAAATAAAGCTTCTGAGCAGTTGTGCACTTTTGAGAAACGCTGATTTTAAAACACAACGTTTTTGGTGACAACCGCTCAATCTTGATATTTACTCCAACCTATTTAGGCACTACTGGGGGAACAAAGAATTTCAAATATTCACAACCTACGCCAGTGCAGATACAGAATGACTGGGAAAATATAAATGCTTATAGTCGAAGTTTATGTAAAAGAGGATTTTTTTGTGTCAGCTTTATTTCACTACTGGCCTCAAGATGCAGTTCTTTTCTTTTAAGTGTACAAACAAATACATTTTATGAATAAAATATTTCAAAGCACAATAATTTTTCAGATTCCTCAACATGAATTAGCAAGCATTTTCTTTGTTTTGCTGTATTCATATCTTTAAGCCCTGATGAACTGAATTACTGGCAAGAGAAAAGAAGGCAATGTTTTATTTGTTGGGGGACCCTTGAAGAAAACATTGCATAGAACCCAGTGCATTAATAATTAACCAATTAATAAATTGGGTTGATGAGAGCCAGTGGATTAATATTGTATTTAAGTAAACACTGACTTCAAGGTGTAGTAGGCCTGGTGCCCCTTACAACACCACTGTGCCCAGTGGGGTTTAAATTGGGTTTATGGGAGTCAGAGCATTAATAATTAACCAATTAATAAATCTATTTATGGGAGCCAGTACTTTAATAATTAACCAAATGATAAACCGGGTTGATGGTTGTTAGTCCATTAATAATTAACCAATTTATTAAAAGATCAGGTTGATCTGAGCCAGTGTATCAATTCACCAATTAATTAACAAATCAAGTTGATGGCAGTCAATGCATTAATAAAAAACAAATTAATTAATTAATTAATGGGGATAATGGGAGCCAGTTCATTAATAATGAACCAATTAATTAATAGATTGGGGGTGATGGCAGCCTGTGTATTCATAATTAACAAATTATTGAATAAATGGGCTTGATGGGAGCCTGTGTATTGTTTTTCACTTACCATCATCTAAGTACATCTGGTCCAGATCCTGGGGCTCTTGCTTGACTGTGACAGGCAGAGAATGCTGACTGCTCTCTTCCTGCAGCAGCGGCAGTGGCCCTGGCTGCTCTGTGGGAGAGCCATTTCTCTGTGTTTTGGGCAGTGGTTGCCCCATGGCAACAGGCTGTGGCGGACTGTAGGCCTGGGCGTATGATGGCTCCTGGGCAGCAGAGGGAACCGGAGAAGAAGAAGGACTGTTGGGACAGAGCGTTGGCTGTTGGAAACCATGAGAACAGCTGCCATTCAGATGCTGACTCACCTGGGGCTGCAGCATGATGAGAGATGATTGATCGGGAGAGCTCGGGTGTACCACCACTGACCGACTGGGCACCTCCTGGATTGTGGCCACGCCTGCTGTGGGTTGCTGAAGGGAAGCCAACTGGTTCTGCCCACCAGAAAGGCATTTTGAGTAGGCGGAGGGAGAGAGATCGTGGAGTTTGGGGCTGGAGCTCGGAGAGGAAGGTGGCATCACCATGTGTCTCTGCTGACAGGAAGGGAAACTGGCCACCAGACAAGAGCCGGGGTCCGGGGGTATCATGGAGGTCAACACTTGCTGGTTGTAGTACGACTTCGAGTGCGCGTTCAGTCCAGAGGCCACCGGTCCACACAGCTGGGTGGACTCGTAGTCATCATTCGGTTCTGTTTTTATTATTGGAACTGAAAAAAAAAATTGAATAAACACACGTTCAGAATTCATGTGACTGAACAAGTAGGCTTGTGGCTAGGATACCCTCAGCAAAACAAACAAGGTCTTGAATGAGAGTTCTGTGTGTCAGTCGCTTAGCTCTCCCACCCAGTTGAAGAATAAAAAAAAAAACTAAAAAACTGGATGACTCATCAGCACAAGAAAGTCACAGCTGGTTCTAATATTCAAAAGGCCTATTTTCTTTGGATTCTCCTCCAGCTCTAATATCCTATAAAAGCATATTTTTAAACATTTCGCTGCAGCAGGAGCCTTAGACCCCAGGGCTCCACAGTGTAAAACTAATTACTTGCTTTCAGAAAAGAGCAAGGCTCAGACTGCAAGACAGACTGTGCCTCTTATGAAATAGCAATCTGTGTATTTCAGCAGATCCCAGGAACCCTCATTTAAACTAAAGGAAATGCTCAAGGAAATGCAGACAAGTTAATTGAAAACAAAAAAAAAACGCTACGTTTAACAGGAACTAAGTGCTAAACAAGGTTGTTGTGGTTCTAAAGTATTCACTTTGATTAATTCAAAAAGATGCTTAGAGTAACTGATTAAATTCATTTGCAAGGAACAGCAAGTTTGAGTTTCAACATCTGTGCAAAAATAATATTTATAATTGCTTGCTAAGCCATACTGTAGCTTTTCCAATCTACTGTTTTTTAAATACTTGGGCTCTTTAAAGATTATAGGCCCATATAACTTTCATAAATTTAGCTGTTTATTTTAAACTACTTTAGAATAATTAAGTATTACATCACAAGCACACTCTCTGGAATCACTTCCAGGCTACAGGATTTTTCTTCACATTGTTAAGACCGCAGCGCACAGAACTGATGGAGGAATGATGCAGTTCTCATGAGAACACCAACAGCTTACAGGGGCTGTCAAGGGTTACTGCACAGAAGGATGATGAGAACATGGCTGACTTTGAACCTACGCAATCCCAGTGGCCCTAGTTAGGACTGTCACTGCTTGGGGAAGCCTATTTACAGTCAGCTAACAGCACAGGCCAGAGTCCAGGCAGCGACTGTAAGTTCTCTAGGCTGTAAGGCCCTACTCCACTCCACATAATTGGGAACCACAGATTTACTGTTTTTGCATGAGTTACTTTTATGGTTTTAAGAGACACCTTCTGTGCTAGCATGATGACAAATATGGGTGGACAGATGGACTATACCTCACGTATGCCAAGCATGGTTACCCTTTCAGATCCAGAAAATGAACACAAATCTTTATAAAATCTGTTTCTGTCTTCTAATTATATCTTATTTTTAAACTAATTCCATACTCTTCTCCTCATCACAGTAATAGTCCCTTACAGAGCAGAAGAATAAATGCAAAAAACCTGGGTTTTAAACACCATAAATTAAACAAAATCACAAATATCACAATATTTATAATATATTTGGGAAAGTAACCTAAGATTATTCCTCCCCTCCCCAGACTGTACAGTGTTGTGCAAATGTCTTTTACACATTCAAAGCTTACTGTAAATGTATATCACAAACAGAATAATATAGCCAAATTCTTCACTAATATTTTCAACTATTAATTATAATTAATAATAGAATAACTTTTAAAATAATTAATAACAAATTAGAATAATAACTAATAGTTAATTTATTTAAGTCCAAAAAAGGATAAACCATTAATTCACATTGATCAGATTATTCTACTCAAAATCGACTGTAAAACAACAGCAAACAAAGAAGCTAAAGGATTATTTTAAAATGACAAAAATATAACAGGAAGGACAGTCAGCTTAAAACAAAATAACTAATCACTAAAAGAGTTCCTCCAAACTGTGTGCAAAATATTTAATTTCTTTCTATACTGGTATGTACTAATTTATCCTAGCAGTATTGCAACAGTAGGTACAGCATCCCAGCTCCACTGCATAAAAGATAATTAAAACGGTCTTAAATAATAGTAATAACAATGGAACACACAAAAAGCAAAGCCCACAGGAAAAAAACCCTGAAGAACATAAAAAGCTTTTAAAATAAACATGTCTAAGTACAACAAAACTGGGCGGGTGGGCCCGGATCCAGGTTTTTGGAATTAGGAATGGGCACAGTAGCCCTCAAAGGCTTCATAAATCTGCCAGCAGGGACAAGAAAGAATTAATACCACTCATCCCATCTCCCTGCTGCCAGAATCACTACCAACACAAACTGAAGCTTTAAGCTGAAAATACAGCTCCAGAATTGGACTTTAAAAAAATTAAAGTTATACCTTTCAATCTGCTTCTGTTTATGTTCTCTGTAAGTACAGTTTTAGAGGGCAAGGCCATATGGTCCTTCCAATCAGAAGGCATTCTGTCCTAGAAGAACTTCTCACAGATTTTTTTTCTTTATAGTGAGCACCTTTTCCTGCTATGCTTGTACAACTAATGACTCAAAGTCATTTTTATTTAAATCTAAACACATCTAGCAGATACTAATTCCATAATAGCATGTGTTTTAAATTCTTCTGCTTGCTCGCCTGGATTGCGGTCTTGTTGTTTCCTACCTGATGATTTATTAGGGCAGCACTGGCTTCTGCTCTTGTTTTCCTTCTTGTTCTACATCTAAATATTTGAGCCTTTGCAGGTTACCGCTTGCAGTTCATTTCACAATCCTGTTTATTTAAGATGTGCCTCTGTTATTTTTATCGTCGTTATATTGGAGGACTTGCTTCCCCACTTGAATATTGAAAACCCTTGGCAGCTTCTACGAGCTGCTGTAGGTCTGTAAATTGCATTTATTTTGAATTTCCAGGACACTGTTGCTGTTCCCTTATTCGCAACCCCTCTCCTCCTTAACACATCCTGACCCTGGTTACATCATCATAAAGCTCTTGAGGACAGACAAAAAAAGGTGGATTACCCAGTTTGTGTAGGACTCTTTGAAGAGGGCTCTCTGTTTCTAATCATGTTCCATGAACAATATTTGAACAGAGACATCTTGATGATGCAAGCCACAGAAACTCAATTTTTAAATAGCAAATGTTCCTATTTTGGCAGGGAGGGGGGAAGTGTGTTTATCAGCACTTAAATGCACTGCACAAAGAAAGATGAGTGGGAGTGCAAATGTTTGCCGTAGCACCAGCAGACGTGTTTGGGAGTATCAGTGGCATAAAAAGTAGAAAAGGCTTGCCTGGGACAAGATTAAGGGTTCTGGGATGTAACGATCACAGAAGAACATAAGCAAATACCCAGAGGCTCCGTATCCACCAATGAACGTGTTTTTTTTGTGGTTGGCTGTTTTACCAAATATCTTCACAAACTACAGCCTCAGCAGCTCCTCCAAAGCAAAGTTTACTTTAAATAGGTCTCCTTGTGGGTGGCAAGGTGATTAGTGCTGCTGCCTCACAGCTTTGGAATCCTGGGCATGGTTCACACTAGGGGTTCCTTCTATGTGGCGTTTGCATGTTCTCCCTAGTTCCAAGCAGATTTTATGCAGATGAACCAGTTTCCTCCCACCTCCCAAACCGCAGGATGGTTGATTGTTGAAGTTGACTGAGTTTTCTATATTGTCTATAGTATATTTGCCACAAAATCCTTGCAATGTGTTGGTATGGCAACCAGGGTGTGGTCCCACTTGTGCCTTACACTACCAGGTTACTGCAAATCCTACCAGGAATAGGTGTCTGTCGAACGTTAGCTCAATACTTCTCTTTGTATCAAGAATCATCTTTCACAGCATTAGGATTTCTTAGTTTAGATTTACTCCTCAACAGCTATAGAAAGATAGACTATTTCTCTTCTCAACAGTGCTACAAGGAAATACACTTGCCTATCTTTCTCTGTGTTCATCATTTTGTAGCGATGACACACTCTGGTACGGTAGGCACACTCTCTAGTTGTGCCAGACAGAGACCCAGCTCCCATTAAGATACACATTTCACAAGTGAAGCCATTTTTCTTTTTTGATATGTTTTTGTTATTATTGAAAAAAATTATTATTCAAGTGCATTGCAATCATTACATAGAAACATGACTAAAGAGTACAACTACAATTCTAGTGGCAGTTATTAATTCATATAAATGTGCACTTCCTAGACATTTTCACTAACCCTTTAAGTGTCTAAAATTACTTTGTAGCACATTTATACTGTAAATCATAGAACAGCAACAACAACAGTAACAATGTTAAAATTTTAAGTAGATTTGCAAGCAGTTTCAAAATGTTCTTCTAATCTATGGTAATACTAATTCCTGTGAACTTGCACACAGACACTGGAATAAACCCTTAAAGATTAATGAGTAAATGCTGTACTGCACCTGTGCAAAAAGACTAGTGACAGCAGCAGCAGAGCTCACGCAGTAGGTATTTTACTGCAAGGAAGAGCGGCAATCCTCTGGACTCAGAACTGGTACAGCTGGGGACTCTCGCTGGGAAATGCATTTACGTCATTTTTTGTCTTCTTTGGAACTAAGCGACGCTCGAGTGAGGTAAGAGTCCCCAAGGTCTCTACAGCCTACCTCCAGGGAAAATCCCTGGCTCCCAGGGCTGGTGAATATTAAACAGGCCTGTGGGGTTTACAGCTTCCACCTCCTGCTCAGACAACAATGTATGAGAAATAGGGGTATACGACTGGTGCTGGAGTGTACAGTGGCTCAAAACTGGCAGGGAAGAAAGACATTTGAACAATTCTAGCTGACCTCCTCCAAATGGTTCGAGCTGACAGGAAATGAACAACTAAGAGTCATTTATTAGATTGATTTGTTTTTGTAATTCATTATTTTATTTTCCTCCAGCATGTTAACTGTATTTATTTGAAATTCATTTTTTAAGGTTCTGTAGCTTATTTTTGTGGCTTATGCAAAATGTGAGCATGCCCACCCAAATAAAACTACGGACCGCAATAAAACACTCATCCCGCTATGTTCGTGTAGTGATGAAATAAAGCTATACAAGCTATACAATACAATCCTCAAGAATTGCAATGATTTCTTGACCTGAAATGAGTTTTAATTTTACTG